AATTCCCGAATATTCATTGCTGCTTCTTTACAAATACTCTTCATTTCATGGTATTTCTTCAAATCTTCTCTCGTTCCTGTAGTTGACAGTATAATGTTGCCCACGTAAAAATTTTTCCTCATGTCCAGCGCAGTTTTATTACCATTGGTTTCTAAATGGTGATTCAGTGTTGCAGAAAGCAGGAAGAATTACTCCAAAGTAGACTCTTCTGAAGCGGTAGCACTTTACATTTTCTTCAATGATTGTCTTTTCAATATTCTTCACCCAGAGAAATCTGGTACAGTTTCTGTCAACCGGATTCAATTCTAGTTGCAAAAATGCTTTTCTACGTCTGCTATAATAACGTTTCTCATCATTCGTAAGCGGAGGAGTATTCTGACTAAATCAGGGAGCATTACAGATTCACGATACGGGACATCGTTTAGGCTTTTCGTACCTTTAAGATATGCCGAAGCATCATCAACAATTCTCGATCCCGTTGTTTTGTCTGGAGTTATAACTTCGTGATATTGCAAATAGTGAATGATGCTTTCTTGATCCATTTCAGAATGAACTTCTTTGATGATTTCCGATTTAAGTTAATCTCGAATAGTTTCATTATACTGTGTAAACAGTATTTCATTATTCTGGAATCGTTCGATTAATACCATGAGGCGCCCAAAGAATAGTCCATAATGAGGTCTTAATTTATCCTTTAATACATCCTTTTGACATATCCTCCGCGACTAAACAAGAAACAACAACATCTTAGCATATCCGCCACCACTGGATAACAAAATACGACATTTTTATTCGCTAAATACACATCCTGTAGCATATCTCCAACTTGACGACCTATCAACTAACCAATAGTCAAGTTATTATCGAAAACAACAACAAGGAAATTGTTAGTTGGTCATATCACCTACTCATTATATAACTCATTTATTATTTTTACCAGTTTATCTCGTACTTTATATATCATAATTTTCTTGGTTTTGTTTTCCATTGTCAACTAGTAATATTGTGCAAGAACAATATTACATCCCGAATAAATCTATATCGCTGAAATACGAAATCAACAAATTAGCTTTCCTGACAGAAATTTTTTGGTGCCACGAGAAGGGAAGGAATCTGAGACCATTTTGGATCTGAGACCATTCGACAAACAATTTTTCACGAAGAGTTATGCGAATATTACGAAGCACGAAAAGGAACTATCAAAGAAATGGTAGAATAATACAGAGCGCAAACCTGGCGAAGGAGAAGCTAATCAAAGTTCTTAACGAAGTGAAAAAAATTGGATCTGAGACCATTCGACAAACAATTATTTCACGAAGAGTTATGCGAATATTACGAAGCACGAAAAGGAACTATCAAAGAAATGGTAGGAAGAACTGAAGCACATGTTAGAACGCATCAACAAAGAATGGAAGGATTTTGTTCAAACGATCTTCCTTCAACAACAGAAAATAGTGGAAATGATGGAAGATGACCAAGGAATATTAAACCTAACAAGTCGGGGGATGGAAGCAGTGATAACTTCAAAAAAATATGAGGACGATCCAGAAGATAAAATTCGACATTTAGAGAGTTTCAATAATCTCAGATCAAAAGGGGAGTTCGCGAGCGAACTGTCACAACAAAAAAGAGAAACAGCTCTGAGAGCTGCAGTTAACTGCAACAACTGCAACTGCAAATGTTAAGGGGGAATCTTCAAAACTGGAGAGCATTCTGGAGCAGCTTTGTAGCAGCGGTACATAACCAGGACCTTCCAAACATCCAGAAACTCAATTATCATATTTCTCGCTTAAGAAATGAAGCATTAAAAGCAGCTAGAGAATTACAATCTTATCCTAAGGATACTGATGGAGGAATATAATGATACGTATACTATCACAAGTTTGTTTTACAACGATCTTTTCTCAGTCAGGAAGAAATGATCGTGAATGGAAAACAACAATCGAAAATATAAAGAGATTATTCAGACAACTGCAGGAGTCGGGAGAAAATCTAGAACATACAAGTTTACGAGTAATTATCGAAAAGAACTTACCAAAGCTGATTAATGTTCATGAGCAAAGATTGAAGGATGAAAGTTTTTGTCAATAAGCAAATTGAGACAGTCCCTAAGAGAATTAATTACTTGTAAACGAAGTTGGAGAAAGTTATAACTCATCGATCGAAGTGGCGGACAATTGGAAAATCAAGAGTTGGCTTTAATTATAAAGCCACTGGTGATGGCTCAAGAGCAGCGGCCGATGAGATTAGAAAGAGAACAGATTGGTAGAACTCCAACAAAATCTTGTGTCTTCTGTAATAAAGATCATTGGGACAACAAATGTCGAAAACTATCCAACCTTGAAACAACGACTAGTGCGTTTGAGTGAAATTAGGGTTTCTTAAAATCCATGAAATTAGATCATACCACAAACAAATGTAAAATGAAAATAACACGATGTCTTCAGTGCACGGGCCTCCACAATCAGTGTTATGTAATAGACATAATACGAGCAAAATAAGTAAGGAAAAAGTGGAACTAATGTATATAACTAATTCAATGATTGACTCAGTTGTTTAGGCTTTATGTCTTTGATATGAAACATTTGAATTCAAATTTAAGTTTGAAGATGATGCTTTCCCTTATGTTTAACAATCTAAATGAAATTAATATTTGCTAATTTTCAACTGTTTTGACTTGACTGTTCTTTACAATTTCATACATAAATATTTCTTTTAAAAAATACGAAATGACTTATGCATACTAAAAAGAAACTTGAAAATGGAATGCCTCGAAATACTTCACTTTTCTTCCTTCTTCGAACCAAAACCATACATAACCGATCCGTTTGGCGCGTATCCATTGATTACAACAATCGAAACTGTTACAAAAGGATCCCTTCCACATATTTCGTAACTTTTGGATGAAAAGGTCAACCAGCAGATATTGTTAATGGGATCAATTAAAACATGCCACTGAAGTGGTCAACCAAAATATATATTGCACATTTAGAGGAGGAAATAGTTCATTGAAAGTGACAGAAAAAACAAATACAACTTTATAGTTCTAAGGGTCAATGCAATACAATGCGATTGTTATTAG